CTGGTAGGTGGTGGTGGTGATGATAATGGTGGTGGTGGTGGTGCTGCTGCTGCTGGCAGTGATGGTGGTAATGGTGGTGCTGCTGCTGCTGCTGCTGCTGGTGGTGGTGGTGGTGGTGGTGGTGCTGCTGCTGCTGCTGCTGCTACTGCTGCTGGTGGTGATAGTGGTGATGGCAGGGGCGGATTAAGGCTCACTGGTGCCCTAAGCACTGACCAATCTTGGTGCCCCCCTCCTTTCCACACTGACCCAGTCCATTTTAGTTGTTGACCTGTCTGTCCAAATATACAATGCAGGTTGCAGCAGTACAAAGGAGGGTGGTGATAAACAGGCGGGGGGTATGGGGGTCCTCCCCCAGAACTTTTTTAAAATGTAGATCGCAGGAGATGGTATTTGAGGCAATTTTGAGCGTACATGCATGTACACCTTTATTCTGACTACCAGTCAATCTATTTGTTTTTTTACACGTTTCAGTTGTGAGAAAGACCTCTCTGTTGTGCAGGTGGTGACCATTAATGTTAAAAATATTCTTAAGACAATTTCAATATTTGGAAAGGCACTCTCTAGTTTGTCTTCTGTAATTGTGTTGTAAAGTTCCATGTGAGTGAAAGATGTTTTCTTGGTTGTTTTAAACTTATGAAGAACATATGAATGGAACTGCTGAAGCTCTGTAGACAAAGAGTTGTTCATGTCATCTGGATAAGCATCAATGAGTGTCTGACAAGTCTTTGAGTACCTTTCACTTTCTGATAATTGGAAATTAGCACCTTGTTGGGTGGCATTAGGGGCCCCTTGTATTGTATTGTATTGTATTGTTGGGGGCCCCTTGTGGTACACCTGGGAAGTACAAATCTTTATTCGTTTTTTTTTCTTTTCACCCTTTTCCCAACTTTGTGGTGCCCCCTTTGGCCCTGGTGCCCTAAGCACGTGCTTAGTCTGCTTAATGGTTAATTCGGCACTGGGTGATGGTGGTTGTGGTGGGTGTGGTGGCAGCAGTTTGTGGTAACACAGACGATGCGATATAAATAACAATTGCATTCCGATTCCGATCTTTGTCAGGAAGCAGCGTCGCGCGGCAGTTTAAGAAAAGGCGATAGGCGAAGCATCAGACCGAGAGCCTGACACCAGCTGCACCTTACACGGTAGCGCTTTCTTGAAGCTCGGGATATTACGTTCAAACACTCGGGAACGCACCACATCTGACAGTGCGCGCGCATAGACGCGTATACATACCAGGCCGGCAGCGAAATTTTTTTCCCACGAGAGTTCCGGACCACAGCCAATCAGCGCACTCCATTCACTCGACTTCCTCGAAGCAACAATGTAAAATGAATACTCCTACCCCTAACCCTAACCCTAACCCTAACTCGAACCCGAATCGCAACCTTAACACTAACGCTGACTATAATCCAACCATATATATACGAACCATATATTACAAAACACTATCTATGGTGGGTCCGGAACTCTCGTGGGGAAAAAAATTTCGCAGGCCGGCAAGCATGTATAGACTGTGATGAATTTAATTGGCAGCTGACGAATTTGCTAGCCAAAAAGTCATGTTATTTGGATACCTACTGCGATCGTGAATACACCGCGTTCGCTAATTAGCTACCAGTGTTGCTTTGTCGACTTGCTGTGTGACGAGACCATGATTTTGCTGAAAATTATATGACGAGTTGTTCGTTTTCAATAATTATTACAGTCTGCTGTGTCTGCATCATAAAATTCTTCACATCGCCAGCCAGCGAATTTTGTTAATAACCCTGGACCAACCTTCGCTCTCCCCCTCTCTCTCGCTCGCTCTCTCTCTCTCTCTCTCTCTCTCTCTCTCTCTCTCTCTCTCTCTCTCTCTCTC